GTTTTAAAAAAAACTTCAAATATTACGAAAGTAATTAATGAAATATTAAAATAAAAAAACTAAATCTAATAATTAACACAAATAATTAACATTAAGAATATGCATAAATAATTAATATCAATATTATAAATAATGTTACATATACTTCAATTATACATCTGTTACGTTGTCATGCAGAGGGATCTGACTTGTACAAAATCTTCTTATATGTCTCGTTGCATAGCACCTGTCGCACTTACAAGGTCGGGGAAATTCTCCGGTCAATGGTATTCTAGACGTACGTGTACGTCCAGGAGTACGTGGGCCGACTGCTGGTGGCAACAAGTTATTCAATGAGAGAATGTGATCGGGAACTTCCTACTCGGCTTCATTCGGTACATGAAATATGGTTTTGGCATATGCTGCTCTCCAAGAACCAGTCGTCTAATAAGCATTGCATAAGGTGTGTGGTGGAATTCCTCTATACATAGCCACCGCCACTGCATGTGTACACGGAAAACTGTTCAACTGAAACTGTCTACACGTGCACGTGTTATCATTCAAGTCGACAATGTATCTGAAATTACGTGCACATCTCGCGGAGAAGCGAAATTGATTTAGTGGTTCTACATATACCTTCCTTGCCACCTCTAGAGTCTTGAAAAATTTATCTTCCTGAGCCGGGGTTAGCACACTTGTGTAACTCTATGATTCCTCACGACGATCATGAAACCACTGTTGCAGCTTGTTACGAATGTTCTCAAGTATTGTGAGAATTGGTAACTCTTGATCCATCTTAAATAAGGCATTGAGCGACTACGCATTGTTCGACATCATCATGTTGTATCGACGTCCTGAAAAATGTGATCGTGCCCAATATTCGATCCCCATCTCTGTCAGATACTCCCATGTATCATAGGCTTTACTTTCTATTTCAACCATAAACTTTTCAAACTTTTGAAAACTGTAAGCTTCTGCAGCTCTCCTAAACAACGTAACGATGCACTTACCTCGATACTTGGTCTTCAGATTTCTTTGTATATGGTACATACAATAACCATGATGTGTCTCAGGGAAGATTTCGGGGATATCGTTAATTATTGACGGCCCTCGATTGGTTACGAATGCAAGGTTCTCGACATCCCCAATTACTTCCCTTAACTTCGTGAAAAACCAACGCATTGCCAAATCATTTTCTCCGTCAACTATGCCGAATGCAAAAGGGTAAATTTGGATGTTAGCATCTTGACATGTTGCAATAATCAACTTGCCCCCGTATCTATCCTTGAGGGTTGTACCGTCGACTAGGATTAAGGGTTGCATTGCGTTTCGAAATCCTCGAACGCATTGTCTAAGGGTCATAAGGAAATACTTGAAGCGATTCTCGTTATCCTTCTCAATAAAAAATGCTGATCAAGTATTAATTCTTCTCATGTTATAGCAAAACCTGACCAATTAAATAAACAATAATCATAATTTAAATAATTAAATAAACAATATTAAAAAACTGAAAATTTAACAATTGAATTAAATAATTAATTACGCATTAGATAAAAAATCAATAAATAATTAAATAAACAATTGAAATTAACGATTGAATTAATTATATAACTATTAAATAAACATCTTAACGAAGAAATAACTTGCCAACTTAGCATAACTCTCCTCGATCGAACCCATCAAGTCCTCCAACGCGCATTCTTTGGCCTTCCAAGCCTTCTGATATCTCATGACCACCCCGTACTCTTGACGAACGTCATTAATAATGTCCGAAGGTCTGTAGATTATTCGTGGGTCCTGAAACTTGTGCATTACTTCTTGACCAATGAACCATGATTGGGCTTGTCTGTGATCATTTCGACGAATACTCACTTCGCAAGTATGTTCCCGTGCATACTTACGAAACACAAAGAACTCATTCGTGTCCATTTTCGTTGCTCGCAAAAGCCAAAGGCAATTGTCGTCAACGCAGACAATTGTGTAAGTCGACTTGTTTGATTCTTCACTTTATACTCAAAATTGTGTTTCAAAACAATCAGGTGAACAGCTTTCTACAAATCTTTTTTCATGTCAAACAGTTGCTCAACATACAAATCTTCATCATCGGGGGCTATACGCAAACAATTAGAGGATCGTGCACTCAATCTAGCCTGTGAGTTCCCACTCGACTCATGTCTCAAATGGAATAAAACAATCAAATTCTCATTTGTAAAGTCATTATCTCTTTCGTTGTCTTGAACTACCGAGCAAATACTGTGTGTCACAGTGGGATCATGGTGAGGAGCAACTGTCTCTGGAACAGCTACAACATCATCACGCACTATTTCCACTGTGTCCCAAAACTCATTCACATTACGATCTCCTCCATTGAAATCTTCTTGTTCACTCTCGAGGACATTCTTCTTCATCAAAGTTACGCAAATAGGAATTGCACGTTTCTGGTTCATTTCTATTAAAACCTTCATTTTAGTTTCAGAAGTAACCATTATAGGTGGAATTGAAATGGATATATGCTCGCCCATTAGAAATCCCAATTCCATTGCGTAGTCAGAGGAATCGACTTTCAGCAAGTTCTGTATCTCATTGTACGCATATGATATACTTGATGTTATTATAATTGCAGTATAATCATGTCTTTCACTCGTCCATTTCCACACCATCGATCATTTTCATTATTTTCAAATTCACCAAAATAACAAATCGGGACAGCAGCTAATCCCATAGTTGCATTAGGAAACATCATTTTTATTAAAAAAATTGTAATTACGAGAATAAAATGACGAAAAAAATATGACACATAAAAAGGGCTCGGGATGTCCGAGCCAAATGTTGACAGTCGGCCTGAGCGTCCGGGCCAACTGTCTTCTATATTTTGCATCTGAACAGATGAATTTTTTTTCTCATTTTTGCTGAAAAGAATTATACATCCGTTTAAGACTTTAATATTTTATTTTTCTAAAATCATACGTTGAAATNAAGCAGATGGAAGAGGAAATTTCTTTTTAATTGTGTTGGAGAATCTGATAAGGAAAGTGATTTCGTTTTGAAATTTAAGTGGGATTGTTTGGATTTATTAATTTTTCAAAGAGAATATTATCGTCTTTTGAGCAAATGATATATTTTTGTAATTACAACACATAATAAGGGCAACAATGATATTTACTCTTCAAATGGCTCTTTTGGTGAATGGCAAAAAAAATTTGGTCAATGTGAAAAATTGGTCTTTTGACTGAGTGGTTCTTAAAAGTACCCCATGCTAAAGGTGACAATTTCTTCATTGGTTTGCCAACGCGTATAATATAGTTTAAAGTAATTAGCACAAAATACCATTACCTTTCAATGTTATTGTGAAAAACGTCTATGTCTTTCATTTTTTTAGCACTTTTACCCATACCTCACCTTTTATAGCGGAAATCATCATTTTCATTAAATTTCTCGTGTAAAATTAAATAAAACAATAAAAAAGAAAAAAAAGTTAAGGAATAAATTGTAATCATACTCTCAAACTTTTTAAAAAGTGCAAATGAGTCCGAATAAATTATTAAGAGAGTAATTAGCACAAAATGTCCGTACCTTTCATTATTATTATGCAAAACATTCATACCTTTCATTTTTTTGACATTTTGACATTTATTTTTATATTTCATTGCAAAAATTATTATTTTCATCCATTTTCTTAATTATAAGCTGTAAAATGACAAATATTACTTTTTATGTAAATAAACATAAATAAAGAAAACAAAATATTTTTAATTATTTATTTGAAATTTATTTGTACTTTTTTTGAAAATTTTGGGAGTATAATTGCAATTTATTCTATTTTTATTTTATTTTTATTTAAAAGAGAAGTGTATATTTGTCATTTTACAGCTTTTAATTGAGAAAATGGGTGAAAATAACGATTTTCGCAATGAAATATGAAATAAGGGTAAAAATGTCTAAAAATAAAAGTGCGGACGTTTTGCACAATAATAATCAAAGAGGGATGATTTGTGCTAATTACTCTTTTAATAATTCATTTGGACTCATTTGTACTTTTCAAAAAATTTGAGAATATAATTGCAATTTATTATTTAACTTTTTTTCTTTTTTATTGTTTTATTTAAATAGAGTGTATATTTGTCATTTTACACGAGAATTTGATAAAAATGATGATTTTCACAATAAAAGGTAAAAGTAAGGGTAATAGTGCCAAAAAATAAAAGGTAGATACATTTTGCACAATAACATTGAAAGCTAATGACGTTTTGTGCTAATTACCTATATAATTTATTTTTTAGTGGATCGTCTGCAATTTATTATTTAACTTTTTTTCTTTTTTATTGTTTTATTTAAATAGAGTGTATATTTGTCATTTTACACGAGAATTTGATGAAAATGATGATTTTCACAATAAAAGGTAAAAGTAAGGGTAATAGTGCCAAAAAATAAAAGGTAGATACATTTTGCACAATAACATTGTAAGCTAATGACGTTTTGTGCTAATTACATATATAATTTATTTTTTAGTGGATCGTTACTTTAGCATTGAAGAATCTATTTTTTGCTAAAAGTTCGCAAAAACAAGCGCATTATTTTGGAGTTATCTATGCAATTTTATGTATATATTATTTTTTATTTTCTTGAAAGTGTGGTGTAATAACTAATTCCTTTTACTAAAGGATTTTCATGGTGGCATTATTGCCACCCTAAGTAATAACAAGACCTTAAATATTCTTGGCCTCTCCGGATATAATTCAGTGGTGCAACGGACAGAAGTAATGTAATCTCAGTCTTGTTGGCAGTCGCAATGTGAGTGTTCGATTCCTGAGATATGGAATTGAACTTTTTGTGGGCACCAATGTAGAGACAAACTCTTATTTCCTGACTTGTTGATATACATCTCGCGATTTACCTTCCTTACGATGCTCTAGAGAATGGACGGTGAGAACCCTTAAGATTGGGGTTCAAATTTTTTTCAAGACCTTAAATATTCTTGGCATTATGCGGTGTAATTCCTGATAATTTTATCTACTTCGTGTCGTAATGCAGGCCACTGAATCAGATTTTGTCCCATAACCATTAAACTGGCTGCTTTTAATCACTTCAATCCCACCCTTTCTCACAAAAAAATACCATCAAAATGGCTTCTTTGAATCTCTTCAATCTCTCGTTTCTTCTCAGTCTTCTCTCCAGCTCAAACCTGAGCTTGTGGCCTCGGAATCATGGTGAAAAGGTTGGGGTTTTTCCGCCAACGTGCAACCGTATCGAGTGCCCAAACTACGACGTGATTCATACTGGGAATGGCTTTGAAATTCGCCGTTACAATTCCAGCACTTGGATTTCTACATCTCCTATTGATGATATTTCCTTTGTCGGAGCCACCAGAGATGGGTTTCTCCGGTGAGGATATGGTTCTTCTGTTCTTTCAAATTTTTATACTTTGTTCATCTAGTTTATGATCCTAATTATCTGATTTGATCCCCTTTTCATTCTATTGGTATCAGAATATGCTAAATTCTGTGGTTTGTGAATGGGTCGAATTACGTGGGATTGGGTTGTACTTTTCCCCTTTGTTATTGCTTCAATCCAAAAGAGTTACCAAATAATAATACTTTTAAGTTGAGTTTGAAACCCTAAATAGACCGCCCGGTGATAAACCGGAGGAAGTGGAGGATGACTTCAAGTCATCACACCCCTTATATCGTGGGTGACACATTTCTTTTTTCAAAAGAGTAGGCTCGGAATTATTGGAATTATTTTTTTTCTTGGCTAAGCTTGTCGTTGTAGTAGTTTGCTAGTAGAGAATTCAGCTGGAATAACATTATATTTACTTGATGAATATAACTTCTTGATTGAACTCTACCAGAATAACTGAAAGAAGTAACAAAATGAACTGCATTACTTGAAAAGAACATTTATAATTGGCTGACATGCAGGGAATTATATTAGGCAATTAGCTATATAAACTCCACACTTATGGGGTGCGCTAGAGAGGATTGGAAATGACGGATGATGAATTTTTTCCCTTGTATCTGTTCCATAACTTTGTTAACTCACATCTAATCCAATGTACGTGATGTGAGCGCACAATTAGTCAGAAAAGTTGTCCCTTGTCTTTGTAGTAAAAATTTGCTTTGGGGGGGGAGGGGGTGTTAAATATCCCTTGTGAAAGGTGTGAAAAATGCTTTCCCAGATTTTATAGCTATGAAAATGTATATTTTTCTCATGATTCCTAATGTAAAGTTCTTGCTTCCGGAATTAAATGGAATTTCAATACTAGCTTGCTCTGCCTTTATAGAACTTTAAAATCTGTGAGGTGTATTCGGTCAGCATGTCATTTATAGGGAAGTTATAAGCATTTCTAAGATAAAGGATTAATTCTTCGCAATAACTCGTTGGTGATAGATGAATTTGTGATGAGAAGTGCTACCGAATTAATTTCTTTTCACTCTTGCAGGCTATTTAGCTATATCCAGGGCAATAATAGTGATAAAAGAAAAATAGAAATGACAGCTCCAGTGATCACCGAAGTGAAACCAAGTGACGGACCCTTCTGTGCTTCATCCTTCGTAGTGAGTTTCTATGTTCCCAAAGAGAACCAACAGAATCCACCTTCTGCTAAAGACCTTCATGTGCAGAAATGGGGACTGACTTATGTTGCTGTAAGGCAATTTGGGGGATTTGTAGATGACGATGAAGTTGGAGAGGAGGCTGCTGCCTTGTACGCTAGTATTGCTGGAACCATTTGGTCAGATGCTATCGACAAGAGCTATTCAGGTGGGAATGCAACAGAGTACATTGTTGCGCAATACAATTCTCCGTTTGAGTTTCGGAACAGAGTGAACGAGATCTGGTTGACATTTGACTTGGAAGATGGTTTTGCAATTTGAGGAGTAATTATACAATGCTAATGGAGTGAATTTTCCTGATCTGTTGGAAGGAGAAGAGTTTAGCTCATAGTTGTACGCCTCTGTGTTCCATTTTGAAGCTCCATGACATCATCTGTATAATAAGCAATACAATATTTTTAGCATAAAAATACAGGCACTTGTTAATGCGTAAGTTAGAGAAAGTGGAGTGGTACCTTTGTCTTCATATTTGGATGCTACTCTGAGTTGTTAATTTCATGGAAATAATATCAAACGAGGCAAAGTATTTGCTTTTATGGACATAATTTGTTTGGTCGTTGCATATATTGAATACTGAATCCTGACTTGTAGATTATGGAGCCACCAGTCATATATGCATCTTTCAATAGGTTCTTCAGGAAACAAAAAGCTCATTGAACGGGATTCTTCTTGTTGGAATCAGTACACGAGCATAATATTTCAGCACTAGCAGTAGTGATTATGAGATTTGATAGATAGATGTCAAGAGGGCTCTTTCTTGAATGACCATCTTGAGGAATGTATATCAGATAGCTAGATGGTTTTTAGAATGTGGCTACTAAACCCTGCAAATTTCAAAGATCTATACAAAGACTTGGATGAAACTAACTATATTTTAGACACTTTGATCTTGTGAGATCGAAAGAATATGCAGATAGCTTTGTCACAAGCTTCGTATGGACAATATATATTGGTCAAGTTTGCAATGCAATATACTAAAAAAGGTTATTTACTTTCTCAAATATAGAATCCACCTCTCTAAGACATATTGTCCTGAAACTCCTAAAGAGGTAGAGCATGGGAAACACATACGCATCGACATCAGGCCACTAGTTAGGATAGTAAGCGCTATTAATCTAACTAGGACTAGAACATTCGGTACTCTTGAAGCATATATAATCAAGCATCTTCGAGAACAAAAAGTTATAAATTGTGTACTCAATGTGAAATTTGGTTTCTTTATGATATACGAACTCTGATTTTTAATCAAGAAAGGACTTAAAAAGTCTATGTCAGGATTCATGTTTACGCTAGTGACGGAGCTGTGGTTTGGAGGAGCATTAATTAATCATATATTGCTGATTTTAGCATGGAGGTCAAATGTGTGGTAGCTTGTGAAGCTTCAAAATATGTTGCATGACTCCAAAAATTCTTTTCAACTTTGGAGGTAGTACCTACATCAGCATTGTTATGAATTGATCGCAAGATAATGGTAATAATGAAATAAATAAGAACAAACTAAGAACACCAAAATTTATGTGGAAACAAAAGATGGAAAAAATCACACATAGAGGAAAAAATTCACTATAATCAATAGTAAATGCATTTACAATAATATCTCAATACTCTCAATTAAAATCTAAAGCTCTCACGATGTTGTATGAATATTATGGGAACAATACAAATTGTGACTTATGTATCTACCTTAGAAATCAAGTTGTAGATGAATAGAAGACCAAAAACGCGTCAAAACGTGAAATAGGCCTGGGCCAAAAACACTGCGGTAAGCGGTAAGCGGGCTCGAGTGTTAGGCGAGCGACAAGTCTCTGGAGAAAACATATAGGAGTCAGTTGAACAACGAACTAGAGGCAGATTAGCAAAAATGCAGCAACTTTCTTCCTGGTCCATAATTTTGATCTCTTCAAGATCACTTTAATAAAAAAAACTCCAAAACCTACTAGAATTTCGGTTAACAACAACAAATTTCTACCTTTAACAAAATTCCAATACAATGAATTCCAAAACACATCTCCGAAATAAACATTGCTCATCCTCTTCCAAACAAGCCCCAATGTACTAAATCAAAGACAAACATCAAGTTCAAGCAATGCTCAAACTTAGCAATAGGAAGTGGTTTTGTCATCATATCAGTAGAATTATCAATTGGTATCAACCTTGCTCACTGCAATATCACCACGAGCTATCGCACATGCACAAAATGATGTCTCACATCAATGTGTTTAGTCCTCTAATTAAACATCTAATCCTTAGTCAGAAAATAGCACTCTAACCATCACAATATACTGTAGAAATTTGCAAGTCTTCACTGATTTCTCTAATTAATCCCCTCAACCACATAGTCTCCTTACGTGCCTCTGTAATGGCTATGTACTCTACCTCTGTCGTAGACAAAGTTACTATATTTTGTAACGTAGCATTCTAACTGATAGCACGAACTTCCAAAGGTAAACACATACCCCGTAAATGAACTCCTCTTATCAAGATCACCTACATAATCTGAATCCATATACCCAATAACTCCATATGTATTTATACCAGAATACAAGCAAGCATTAGTAAAACCTCTCAACTATCTGAATATTTGTTACACAGCTTTCCAATGTTCCTTATCAGGATTTTTCGTGTACCTACTAATTGCATATTTCAAATCTGATCTTGTGCAAACTATATTATACATAAGTGAACCAACTATATTGGAATAAGAAACTCGAAACATATAATTAGTGTCTCGATCTAATTGTTAACACAATCCAGATGATAATTTGAAGTGGACGGCTAAGGGAGTATTGACAACCTTAGAACTTAGCATATTGAAACTTTGAAGTACCTTCTCAATGTACTCATTCTGATTCAATTACGATCTACCAGCCTTTCTATCGCTTAAAAATTCAAAAATTCCATACCAAAAATTTTCTTTGCTGCACCCAAATTTTTCATCTCAAATTCCCTATTAAATTGATGACCAAATTCTTTTTAAGAGGGGAAGTTGTATAACCCTGCAAAAGTTTAGAATATAATCATTTTACTATAGATGTTTTTACCTTTTAATAGTTGGGGGACTAAAGCAAAAGAGTTATTTTTAAATTCTTATATTTTTATTCGGGCCAAATAATTAGATTTTGATAAGACAAGTATATGTATATCAATATTGAATTCTTTTTGTAGGTTGTAATTAATTAGAAGTTTTCTACCCAAGATTATTATTATTATTATTATCGAATAAGATCATGTCAAGTTAGAGATGACTTTTACTATAGATGTTTTTACCTTTTAATAGTTGGGGGACTAAAGCAAAAGAGTTATTTTTAAATTCTTATATTTTTATTCGGGTCAAATAATTAGATTTTGATAAGACAAGTATATGTATATCAATATTGAATTCTTTTTGTAGGTTGTAATTAATTAGAAGTTTTCTACCCAAGATTATTATTATTATTATTATTGAATAAGATCATGTCAAGTTAGAGATGATATAAAGTAAGGATGAATAGAATTTTTATCAATTTAGAATATTGACTTTGCTACGGCCAGCCGTATGTGAGTGTTTTGGGTAGAGATAAACTAACCTTTTTAGGATAAAAGTTAATTGTAATCATAATTAAACTAAACTAGATTTATTTTTCCTCATCAACAGTCATTATTTATCTCTGCACTTATTTTATTTTATTTTTTCCGAGATTCTATTGGAGGATTCTTTTATGAAGATAATCCAATTTATATTGATAAGTGGTTGCAAATTGATTATTGGTAATGAATACAATTCTTTTAGTTAATCCAATCCTTCAAGAAGTCAAAATGACAAATGATGGGCATCTCGCTTGGTCACCGAAATCCTCCATAAGAGAAATATGGTATACAGTGTTTAATTTATTGTGATAAAATTGTCTATAGAAACTACACGTATCTTATTGGGTATTTTTAAATACTCACTTTTACTATATATTTTTAAGATAGTTCAGGTCGATTGGAACGGTGGCGGGATGTGATGCAGGCTGCCGAGTGGATTCGAAAATAAAAGTATTAAATTTTTGTTGGTTTTGTCTTTAAATTCATTAGTTAGTTAAATTTGTTTGAAGTTTTTATTATTTAATTAGCTAGTTGAACTTTATTTTTAAATATACAAATTTTTATGTTCAGTTTAATTTGTTGGATATTTCAACATATTATTTTTAAAGAAAATTAATTTTATCATTCCGACTTCAATATAAAATTTTTGATGACACTCATAATTTATGAAAATTTGGGGCTTTACACTCCATTTGTTATCTGTATATATTTGGTCATATGGCAAATCCTATTGAAAGTGGATCACATAATGTACCCGTTAAACAATATAA